ATATATATATATATATATATATATATATATATATATATATAAGGTTCATGTGGCCTTTTTAAATTTAGACACATTGGTTTTCTAATAAGTTGTTGTGAAAGCCCATAACAAATAAGTGGCCTTCTCATTTTATAGAAAGCTAGACACATGATGAAATTCTCTTAAAGTCTACAACCCACTACTAGGCTATAGCTCCCTACCATTCAGACACATGCTTTCTCATTTTTCTAGAAAGGTATATAGGTGGCATTTTCTAAGAAGTTGCTGTTAAAGCCTACAACCCACTACCACCATTTTCAATTCATTCCTAAAAAATGTAGAAAATGCAAAAGTGGTTATTCATAACAACTTCTGCCTATATTCTATCAATCTCAATTAATCATTAACCCTCTACGTATCATAACAAAAGAAAACTATCCATATTCTAATAATTATTGAAAAGTTAGTTTTTGAAATAAATATTTCTTGAAATTTTAATAATCATTTAAAATATTAATAAATATAAATTTAATATTATTGATTCCATAATATAAATTTAACATTACTGATTCCATTTTCTTAGTACGGGGTCATTCACTAGTATAGAATGAAGAGAAGAGAAAAAATGAAAAGCCAATGTGTTTAGGGTTTTACTTTGTTATTAGTAGGGTTGTTCACAAACAATGCCAAACCAACCAAACCGACCAGCCTGGCCTGACCAAACCCGATTTGGCCAGTTTTTCTTCACCATTGGTCGGTTTTGAGTTGTAAAGATGGGTAAATCGATAATTTGGTTCAGTTTTAGTTTTCACACATGAAAACCAAAACTGAACCGAGTTATCTAACTAGGTTATCTCTATCCTACTTCTTTCTAGTTACTTACTAACTTAGTTACTTATTTTTAGCATTAATTTTTTAGTTACTTCTTTCTAGTTACTTACTAACTTAGTTATCTATTCTTTCTAGTCTTTAGGATTGACATTAATGGCAAGCATTGCAAGGCAAGCAAAATCCCTAGTCCCTACACCTTTAGAAAGGTTAGCTTCTTACATTTTTTGAAATATTAAAAGAGAGGTTTTGTACTCTCTAAGGTATCCTACTATCCTTTACACCAAATAGGCAAATAGGAGCCATTTCTTTCCTAGACTAGAGGTTCTCTACTCTCTAAGCATTGCAAGTCCTAGTCTTCTTCCAAATTTCATTCTTCTTTGATTCATTCTTTCCTGGTCCGCCTCCTCAAGGCTTAAGCACTCTCAAGATTTTCAAATTTCAACATCACTCATTCATTTGGCTCTCCCATCTTCTCAAATCTCAACTCTCAGTCTCTCAACTCTCAAGTTTCAACTTCTCAAGACTCAAGCATCACATTCACAGGTTAGTATTTTTTTATTTAATATTTTAAAAAATTAATGCACATTAAAAGTTGATAAATTTTATTTGTGTTTTGTTTAAGCTTTGAAAAAAATCCAGTTATTTATGATATATTTGCACAAAAAACTTCAGTTTCATATAAAAACCTAATCTATTTAAATATATATTTCAGCTTTAATTTAAATATATATTTTATAATTAAAACTATTAAATATAGATATTTCGGTTTTGCATAAAAACTGAAATATCTGAAAAATATATGTTAAATATAGATAGTTTAGTTTTAAATAATAAATATATATTTGAAAAAATATATATTATGTAATATATCATATATATATTTCTGGAATATATATTTCCAAAAATATATATTCTGATATATTTGTATATATATTGTTTTAAATATATATATTTCAGTTTTAAATGCATTTTCAATAAATATATTCTCACTGAAATATTTTATATAATATGTATATTTCAGTTTTAAATATATATATATATTAGTTTTAAATATATTTCTAAAATATATAGAGGGTTGGTTTTACTTAATAGAGGGTCGGTTTTGGTGAAAAAAACTAGTAAACCGACCCAACCTGACCCATGAACTGACCTAGTTATTAGCTTCTTGAGCTCTATTATCAAAATGTTCGAATGAGCTCTATTACGAGTTCAAATCTGTGCCCCATAACATCCCACAACACATCCCTGGGGCACCTCCTTGTGGGACGTTATGGGGCACCTCCTTGTGGGGTGCAGATTTGAACTCCTCTAGTACCACTTAATACAAAAGACAAAATATAAAAGAAAATTACAAAATTACTACTCTTACTTTAAAACACCCCCTCTTAATTTGTAATTTTCATTAGATATCTAAAATGCAGAAAATTTTCAAAAGTTAGGGGCTTGGTGAAGACACAGCAAGTTGATTTTCAGTCTTGATGAACTTCAATTCAATCTCTCCTTTATCAATAAGCTCAATATGCTTTGTTTTTCCATGAAAAATTGGAGTTTTGGTCATTGCAATAACTGAAGTATTGTTATAGTAGATTGTAGTTGGGCTATCTTGCACAAATTGAAGGTCTTTCAAAAGCCTTCTAAACCAATTTGCTTCACAAGATGCATTAGTGGTTGAAATGTATTCTGCTTCATCTAAAGAAAGTGCCACAGTATTTTGCTTCTTGGATGATCAAGAGATCATTTTACTTCCTAAAGAGAAAACATATCTACTGCTTTTTCGGTCACTTATAGAACCAATCAATCATTGTATGAAAATCCAACTTGCTTGCAGTCATTTTCACTTTCATATTTCAACCCAAAATTCTTGGTTCTTTTCACATATCTAAGTATTCTCTTTGCCACTCCAGAATGAACTTTACTTGGATTGTTCATGTATCTTGAAACAATGCTCACAGCAAGAACACTATTCGTTGTTTGGTAAGATAAAATCAAGGAACCAACAAGGCTTCTGTAGATTGATGCATCTACCAATTCTACTCCATTCTCCTTTGACAAATTTTCATTGACAGCCATAGGAGTAGATAGGGGTTTACATGTTGACATATGAAACCTTTTTAACAAATCATCAATATACATCTCTTGAGACATAAAAATTTCAACTTTTCTTTGCTTCACTTTAATCCCAAGAAAATATCTCATTAATCCCAAAACAATCATCTCATATTCCTTGGCCATTGCCAATTTGAATCCATTCAACAATTTTGGGCTATTACCTATATAAATCAAATCATCAACACAAAGACAAATAAGAATAAAATCATGCATACCTTCCTTCTTGACATAGAGTAATGGCTCATTTGGACTTTTTCAAATCCATTCTTACGGAAATATTTATTAATCTTGTTATTCCATGCCCGAGGTGCTTGCTTTAGGCCATACAAAGCTTTTCAAAGCTTGTAAACCTTGTCCTCCTTTCCTTCTATCACATATCCTTGTGGTTGTTCAACATAAACTTCTTCTAAATCTCCATTTAGGAAGGCTAATTTCACATCAAATTGAAATACTTACAATTTTAGTTGAGTGGTAGGTGCAAGTACAATTCTAATTGTTTCCATTTTTGCAACCGGTGCAAAAGTCTCATGGAAATCTACCCCAAGTTGTTGGGCATAGCCTTTAGCCACTAGCCTTGCTTTGTGCTTTTGGATTGAGTCATCTTTCATTGAACTTTGTTTTGTAAATCCATTTCGGTCCAATCACTTCTTTTTTTTTGGTTTATTAACCAATTCCCATGTCTTATTCTTCTCTATCATTTCAATTTCTTCATCCATAACATTCACCCAAATTTCTTCTTTTGAAGCTTCTTCAAATTTTTGTGGTTCTAGAGCAAGAAATACAACATCACAAGAATCAAAGATTTCTTGAAATGAATATACATTTCATGGTAGAGTATCCGAATCTATATCACTTGGGCTTACTTTCCATGGATTTTAGTTTCTTGAACTCGAGGGATCCATTCTTGGATTGAAACTTGTTAAGCTTAATCTTCTTGAATTTGCTGGCCTTGCATTTGATGTAGTTGTATCATGCTCATGGTCATTGGGAACCACTTCTTCTTCATTTTTTATAACATATTTTTTTTGTTAGTGGGGAATTTTCTTCAAAGTTCCATGCCCCCTCTTCATCAAATATTACATTTCTTGAAATTACCAACTCATTTGTTATTGGATTCAACAATCTATAAACTTTGAATTCATCACTATAACCAAGGAAGATACATTTTTCACCTTTGCCATCAAACTTCTCTCTCTTTTTTGAGGAAATGTGAGCATAAGCAATGAAACCGAACAGTTTAAATGAGCTAACAATAGTCTTATTTTGTGCCATGCTTCAAAAGGTGTTTTATTTTGCACGACTTTGGTGGGAAAGCAATTTAGTATGCGGACAACAGTATGAACTACTTTAGCCCAAAAATGTTTGGGAAGATTTTTACCTTGCATCATGCTTTGTGCCATTTCTACAATGGTTCTATATCTTCTTTTAGCTATCCCATTTTGTTGTGGGGTATGTTTTATTGTCAACTCTCTTTTGATGTTTTGTTCTTCACAAAACTTCCCAAATTCTCTCCATTTAAACTCTTTTCCTCTATCGGTTCTTAAAACTTTTAATTTGTAATCACTTTGCTTTTCAACTAAAGCTTTTAATTGAATAAAAATAGACAATACTTGTAATTTTGCATCTAATAAGTATACCCACATCGTTTTAGTAGAATCATCAACAAAGAGAAAAAAAGTACCTCTTGTTGTTGAAGGAATGTGTCCTTATGGGACCATAAATATCAACATGAACCAGCTCTAATGGTGCCTTTAAATTCCGTGATCTCTCTGAAAATGGTAGCCTATGATGTTTCCTATAGACACAACCTTCACATACTTTATGTTCTTTATCAATTTGAGGAAGCCCAATCATCATACTCATATGAATTAACAAAAAGAGACTTGAAATTCAAGTGCCTATATCTTAGGTGCCATAACATAGACTCATCCAACTTCTTACTTTTTAGTCCATAGTTCACATCATAGGACATGGTTAATGGAAAAACTTTGTTTGCAATTATTTTTATTCTAGCAATGATTTGATCTTTTTTCTTATCGGTCATTATACATTCATTATTGTCAAAGTGCACCTCATAACCTTTTTGTATAAGTTGTCCAACACTAAGCAAATTTTGAGTCAAACCAGGAACATAAAGAACATATGTGATGAATTTAGAATTACCTTGCTTAGTTTAGACTACAACAACACCCTTTCTTCAACACTTTGGAGTTTGCCATCTCCAAGCTTCACTTGATAATTAACATGTTCATTCAGCTCAAGAAAACATGTTTTTTTTTTTTGTTTCCTGTCATGTGGTTACTACAACCACTATCGAAATACTAAACTTCTTTCTGCTCTTGTTGGGTATTCATACAAAAGTAAAATAGATGATTTTCTAAATCATCATTTTTAGTATAGTGGGYTTGTTCTTTCTCCTTAAATCTGCAATCTTTTGGGGCAAATGATTGTCTTTCTTGCAAATAAAAGAACCATTGTTTTTCTTTTCACCTCTTCCTCTTCCATACGATCTACCTCTTCTTTGTCTTCTTCCATTATTTTGATATCCTCTTCTTTTGCCTTAATATGACCATTTTCTTGGAGTTTCCTTTTCACCATCATTCTTCTTTTTTTTTTTTTTTGCAATGGTGAATTTGGACTGAAAATCTTGCTCCAATGAAGAAGATAAAAATTTTTTCATTCTATTGTCATGAGTTTCAAGTGAGCTCATTAACTCATGCATGGATAGTTTAGTCAAATCTTTGGCTCCTTCAATGGCAACTACCACATGATCAAATTTAACTGGTAAACTCTTCAAAACTTTTTTTTTTACAATTTTTTCATCTGAGATAACATCTTCATATGTCCTGATTTGATTTACAATACCAACAACTCTAGAAAAGAACTCTTAAATAGATTCACTTTCTTTCGTCATTATATTATCAAAATCTCTCTAAAGAGTTTGATGTTTTATGGATATTACCTTTTCAATGCCCTGAAACTCTTTCTTGAGAATATCCCATACTTCTTTTGAAGTTTTACTTTTGTTCTTAGTTTCTTGAGGTCTATTACCGAAATGTTTCAGATTACAAGTTATATAAAGGAGATTTACTTTTACGGTCTTGACTTTTCAGCTCCCAACTCCCAAGGCAACTCACTTAATACAAAAGACAAAATATAAAAGAAAATTGCAAAATTATCACTCTTACTTTTCAACATTAACTTTTGCTCCTCTGCGTTTCTCTTAACCTCTCTTTTCATACAAACATAGAGATTGTAACTTTTTCCTTGAAGATATCATACAACCAGAAGAATCAAAGCCCACATTCTCACTATCCTAAAAATCCACAGAAAGAGCTATTCTCTATTGCATGATCTGACAAACATAACAACCGATATCTACTCTCAGATATATGTAATTGGTACAACAATGCCCATCTTCCTCCCCGAGCGTTGTCCCTTCACCTCCAACACCCCACATTAACGATGATGACTTCAAACTAATGTCGGTCCTGATAATTTCTTTGTATTGGTGCTTTATAATTGTTGATGTCGAAAGTCACCAAACCAAAGGATGGTGATGAGGCACCTCGGATTCTCGGAAGATGATTATTAATCTGCAAGAAAAGGAGAAGTGTAGAAGGTTGCAATGAAATCTGGCATAATAAACAAGCTCAAATCAACTTAGATCATTTGTCCCATTGATCATGTTGTGGCAATCTATGATACATCTGTTGGAGGAGCCGGTCTTGGCATGGTTTTGAAAATTGGACTGGTTGACCTGGGAATGGTTATGGATTCAGGCCCAATTTTAGACCCCAAAACCGTCTAACCTGGTGTTGAACCAGGCAGTCAACTGTTTGACCCAATCAATGGTCAAAATGATTTCATTTCTGATCCAGATTTTAAAACCGTGGATCTCATTGCACATGTCCCACCTCCTATCATGGCTTGTGAGGTGGATAATGTATGGTCGAGTGGTTGTCATCATGCTATATTAACACATGCCTCATAGAATGCACCTCACACCAACATGATCACAACCCCATCCCACCGTGTATTAGGAACATCCCCCATGATTAACACAAAGTACGAAAGATGTTCCCATTATACGATGAGATGGGGCTGTGAAGTCAGTGTGAGGTGTGCTTTGTGACTATGAAGAGTTGATCCGGGTTTAGCTCCACAAGGTGTGTTTTTATTGAGTCGAATTTTCGATGTATGTCATTATAATCTATATCTGTATATTAAAATTCTATGTGCCAAGTTGGCACTTTCCTGTCCTATGATTCATTGTCAAAGACACTTATCTTTTTTCTGGTTTCTTCTTAAAAGGTACTTGTCTTTTTTTTTTGAATTTTATAATTTTAAAATTGAATAAAATAATTCAAGTGGCCAATCACCTTTAAGACTTTTAACACTCATTAAAACATCATTAACTCTCTCTCTTTCTCTCCTTTTTCCCATTAACTCTTTTAATAACCTCTTCTAATTAATTATGCCATTAACTCTCTCCTTCAATAACTACTCGTGCTACTAATTCTCTTATCTCCATTACTCCATTAAATTGCATAAAATTCATTAATTTTATCTATATATATCCATTTTAATTTAACTATAATATATTAGAAATATTTGCATTAAACTGTTATTATCAGTAATGATTAATTATATTAAAAATGAGATATTCAATGACATATTATTGCACTGAATAATTTACTTCCATTTAAAATTATAACCCATTTATATTCTATTTGAAAGTAATAAAAAATAATTAAAATAAAAATAATTTAGTAAGCTACTTAAATAAAATAGAAATAATTATTAATTACTTGTATTGATAAAAATATTTTATTAATATAATACAAAGAATTTAATTAATAAAAGGAATAAGATAAATTAAAAATGAATATCAATTTAAAATTAATACAAAATTATCTAACAATTATTAGTTTTATAATTAAATTTTATTAATTTAAAACCAACTTAATCTCCACTAAAAAATAAGAATTTATATAGTTAATTAAATTTCATAAGGAATTTAAATTTAATAAAACCTAAATATATTTAAATAAATTCAATTTTTACTAATTTCAAAAATTAAAAAAAATATTAGTTTTAAACATAGTTTAATTATTTTAAAA